CCTAAAATCATGTGAAGAGATTCAACATGAAGTACAGTCAATAATATACAGCATTACAAAAGGGCTGTCATGCTCTGACTGTCTATGCCCTCCCCTCAAACTTCTCCTTACCAACCTCAACAGAACACATGACCATAACACAAGGCACAGATCACTCTTTGATGTTCCCTGTGTCCATCTCACACCATGTAAAACCTCAATTCACATAAAAGGCCCAAAAATCTGGAATTCATTACCTGTAAATATAAAAGAAATACTGTCTATCAATTCAAGACTCTTCTTATTAAAAACCACTTACTCAACCACAACTAAATAAATACTGAATAACTTAATCTCATAACTGTATAATCTGTGACCCTATCAAACTGTTTTTTTTTAATTACATTACCTAATAGAATACCCCATTCTCTTGAATGCACAGTAACTCCTCTAATGACCATATGACCTGTTTCTGCACTACAAATCATTGATTTTACTCGATCTGATTCGATTATATTATACATTGTTATGCTACAAATTTGTATAACTTTAATTCTTATTTGAAATACTCATTTGTACTTCATGTTGTAATTTGTTTACTGTAATTTTTACCACTGAATATATCATTGTTTCGTTAATCTTAAGTTAATTTTAAGCCTGCCCATAATGCTCTGCATACAAGGGGCTTTTGGCATGTACACCCAATCACTATATTTCTTTGTACAACTATGTATCATGTCCAAATAAAAAATAAAAAATAAAAATAAATGATTAGAAACTAAATGCTGCTGAGTTCACAACCTTGTAATACTGCATCTTACATAGTTGGAAAAAAAGGATGTTAATGATCTGCACACATGAGCATTATGCCAAAGTGATCTTGAGCAACAGCAGTAGCAGGTAATAAAGGCCAAAGAATGAGCCTGTGACAAAATTATGATACTGCCAGGCCATGCCATGAGCTTTTCTGGTGAAAAATACAGCTATAACAAGGCCCTGTTGAGCATAGACATTATGTACTGTGCACCCGAAACAAAAATGCAGGGCATGTTTGTGTCGGGTGTACAATCATTTACAAATATGCAGTCATTAACAGGATTCTGTGAAGCTGTAATAAGCCTTATGAAATAATTAATATTCTTTTGGGTAGTGTACAAAATTCTATAAATATTGTACAGTATAGTGAACCCTCGAATTAATGAACTCAAAGGGGGTAGAGGTGCACTTTACTGCCGGTTATTCGTAGATTCGAAATTACAAAATTATTTTTCAAGAGTGTAGCATTAATGGGCAATGTTTGGAATTGAAATATGTACTTAGTCTGTTGATTCAGAATACAACTGGACACCAAGAATAATGTAACGTAAAAATGACGGTACTATGCAGGTATTGTAAATAAAAATAAAGATAAAGATTTTATTTCTTTACAAAGGTTACAGTGTGTAATTACAATTTTGATTTAAGTTCAAATTATTATTATTATTATAATCAAGGGGGAAGCGCTAAACCCGGAGGATTATACAGCACATGGGGGGGGGGATGTGGAAGGCATTCAGGCTTAATTCGGGGAACTGGAGCACAGATCCAATTCCCTAATTTTTTTTTTTTTTTTTTTTTTTTTTTAAGTTCAAAGAAAGCCACAATCATGCCGGGGCATTTAAGGCAGACTAATTCTAATACTTAAAAACTACTCGAGTCTAGACAGGATAAGAGTGGTTAATTTTTAATTATTCATTATTTTATCCTATGAATAATAAGTTATTTTATCTTTTGGATAATAATCTTGATGTAACACATAACTAATAATATTACAAGTAATATAATAATGGTACAAACAGTACTATTTTAAGTATGAGTTAATGTTTTAATAGACTAGAGGTCATATAATACTAGGGCTGCACTCTGAAGGAAACCTGGGGATATTTGCAGTTCTGAAATGTAGTACATATTGGTGTGCCTCTAGTAAGACAGTGATGGAGTGAATGATAGTGATGTGTTTCTACTCTTTCGGTCACCCTTCCCTCAGTGGGAGGTGGCCGTTGTATTAAAAAAAAAATTATTCCCTTTGAGCACTAAACTCTTATACAGTCTCTCCTCACTTAAGATGGAATTCCATTCCTAAGAGTAGGTTAGTAAATGAATTGGTTGTTAAGCGAGGAGCATACTATACTGGTAGTGGGTTTGTGTCAGCCATCTTTAATATTGTTTTAATGTCACCTTTGCATCATTTATAACATTTTTAGCATATTTTTAAACATTTATACATTAGTGTACTGTAAATTATAATAAACAGAACAGAGAAAATCAATTCTAATATACATTGCTTAGGTGAATGGTATTTAGATAAGGGTAAAGAGGATTTTGTGGCATTTATGGATTTGGAAAAGTTGTATGATAGGGTAGATAGGGAGGCAACATGGCAGATGTTTCAAATGTATGGAATAGGAGGAAGTTTATTGAAAGTAGTGAAGAGTCTTTATGAGGATAGTGAGGCTCAGGTTAGAGTATGTAGGCAAGAGGGAGATTATTTCCCAGTAAAAGTAGGCCTTAGACAGGGATGTATGTCACCATGGTTGTTCAATATAGATGGAGTTGTAAGAGAAGTAAATGCTCGGGTATTGGCAAGAGGTGTGGAGTTAAATGATAAAGAATCTAACACAGAGTGGGAGATGTCACAGTTGCTCTCTGCTGATGACACTGTGCTTTTGGGAGATTCTGAAGAGAAGTTGCAGAGGTTGGTTGATAAGTTTAGTAGGGTATGTAAAAGAAGGAAATTAAAAGCAAATATAGGAAAGAGTAAGGTGATGAGGATAACAAAAAAATTAGGTAATGGAAGATTGGATATCAGATTGGAGGGAGAGGGTATGGAGGAGGTGAATGTATTCAGATATTTGGGAGTGGATGTGTCAGCAGATTGGTCTGTGAAAGATGAGGTGAATCATAGAATTGGTACACTGAGGAGTCATAGAATTGGTAAATCATAGAATCATGGTGAGTCATAGAATTGATGAATCATAGAATTGGTGCACTGAGGAGTCTGTGGAGACAAAGAACCTTATCCATGAAAGCGAAGAGGAGAATGTATGAGAGTATAGTTATATCAATGCTCTTACACTATATGGGTGTGAGGCATGGGTGGTGAATGTTGCAACAAGGAGAAGGCTGGAGGCAGTGGAGATGTCATGTCTGAGGGCAATGTGTGGTGTGAATATAATGCAGAGAATCTGTTGTTTGGAGATGAGGAGGAGGTGTGGGATTACCAAAACTATTATCTAGAGGGCTGAGGAGGGGTTGAGATGGTTTGAACATGTAGAGACGATGGAACAAAATAGAATGACTTTGAGAGTGTATAAATCTGTAGTGGAGCGAAGGTGGGATGGGGGTCGGCCTAGGAAATGTTGGAGAGAGAGGGTAAAGGAGGTTTTGTGTGCAAGGGGCTTGAACTTTCAGCAAGTGTGCATGAATGTGTTAGGTATGAGCAAATGGAGACAAATGGTTTAAAGGACTTGATGTGCTGTTGGAGTGAATGCAAGGTAACAAACCATACCACGGGCGGGATTGAACCCGTGGTCAGAGTCTCAAATCGTGTCATTACGATTTCGTGAGTCATGCAAGGTAACATGAAGGGATTCAGGGAAACCTGCAGGCCGGACTTAAGTCCTGGAGATGGGAGGTACAGTACCAGCACTCTGAAGGAGGGGTGTTAATGTTGCAGTTTTATAACTGTAGTGTACGCGTGCCTCTGGTAAGACAGTGATGGAGTAAATGATGATTAAAGTTTTTCTTTTTCAGGCCACCCTGCCTTGATGGGAAACGGCCGATGTGTTAATAAAAAAAAGGTAGTATGTACATATACTGGTCAGAGAGCCCGTCATAAGTCCGAGCGGTCGTTAAATGAGTACATCGTTAATTGAGGAGAGACTATATATCATACAACTCTTGTATAATGAGATTTAATCAGATCTGATTCCATGTAGATATATTTTGTCCAGAAACAGACACTATATGCTCTGTGAGAAACTCTTAGCTAATTTGCAGAACTGATTAACTACAGTTATCCAAAATACCCAAAACTTACCATGTAGAGATGGCTGCTCTTTGAGTTCCAGGGAAAATTGGAGACTGAATGATGAGTGTAAGTGGGCAGAGACAATAAACTGATACAGGCAGCTTATGGCTCGGGGAACAATAAAAGTAGACAGGCCCTGAATGAGTACTTTCTAGCCTGTACCAGACAAATATTGGAATCATCAGACTTGGTCCTTAGATTCAGAAGATTACCAGAAGCTTATTGCTTTAGGAGAAATACTGACATTTTCCAATTTGTCTGATGTTTTCGTTTGTCCAGCCAATTTTTTGTCCTTAATTTCCATAATCTGATCAGTGGGAGACTGTTAATTGGAGGTTTTACTATATTTAGGTCTTATCTCTTTCCATTTTGTCTTTCCCTTCATTCACCTTCACTTTATTGTTTTTGCCCTAAATCTTTGTCTTCTGCCTCCAACTTTCTGATTTGTTTATATACTATACATACTGTAGTACATTAGCAACACATTTTTTGCTTATCATTGCAAGCCAGTAGTTGCTCCTTTGCTTATTTGATAGCAAACTAAATTTTAAGGAAATTTCAGCTTCAGCAAATATTGTATGTAATGCTTCAGTCATAAACATTTAACCCTTAAAATGTCCAAACGTAGATCTATGTTCACGTGCATAGCACTCTGACCTTGATTTTCCCCATTTGAAAGCATGCAAAAAAAAACGTAGATCTACGTTCAGAGCCCTCTGCACGTGGACGTAGATCTACGTTTGGACAGTTTAAGGGTTAAGATACCCACAAATGGCTAGTATCTGAAAAATCTCAGAAATATTTCTAAATTTGCTGTTCATTTAATGAAACAAGTTGTCATAAATATACAGCAATTGAGTCGTAAATATTTATACAGTACATATAATAAATATTTATACAGTACGTATATAATTCGGTACTTAAACATTAATAAATTCACTAATAAAACCTTTGTCTGTACAGGGTTGGTGACCCAATCAGTACCCGTAAATATACAGAGGAACTCTTACAGAAAACCGAAGAAAATGATTATACTTCTTGTCAAATGTTGTTAGAAAAAGGTACCGATGTTAACATAACCGATGAAGAGACTAAATCAACAGCTTTGCATATAGCGGCCAAGAATGGAAATAAAGATATTCTCGATCTTCTTCTGAGTAAGGGTGCAGATTGCAATGCACAAGACAGCACTGAACAATCTCCATTACATCATACTGCTACCAAGGATCATCTTTATTGCTGTCAAAGACTTCTTAAGTGCCCTGATTTGAATGTAAACATACAAAATAAAACACATGACACTCCTCTTCATCGTGCAGCAAAAGAGGGACGAAGAGCTATATGTAATATAATGCTTCAGCATCCAGATATTAATGTGAATGCCAAAAATAAGAGAGGAATGATACCACTGCATCTTGCTACTCTAGAAAATCATGGGAGCATAATAGAGCTTTTGATGGAATATGGTGCAGACTTTAAGATACGAGACAAGAATTTTCATCTTCCAATTCATTATGCAGCCCAGAAAGGCTTTCCAGAATCTTGTGAAGTTCTTTTGTCTAATACCAGTGAAGCTGACAAAGATAAACAATTAAGAGCAAATCTGAAAGACGGAAAAACACCTCTCATGTTGGCAGCTAAGGGAGGATATCACAGGTGCTGTGCTAAATTAACAAATATAAATATAAATAAGCAGGACAAGGAGGGGAACACTGCTTTGCATTATGCTGCTATTGGAGGGTTTGAAAACACAATTGATGAACTTCTTAATATGGGAGCTAATCCAAATACAGAGAATAAAAAGGGAAAGACCCCAGTTCTTGAAGCAGCAAGTAAAAAGAAATCTAGCTGTTTAAAACTTTTTGCAGAGAGCTGTGTAAAACTGGATGTTGTAGATAAAAAGAATAGGAATGTTCTTCACTATGCAGCTGAGAAAAATTCAGAAGACAGCCTTAAATTTTTGTTGTCTCTTAATACCTTGGAACATCATCTTGATAAAAAAGATGATGATAACTGTACACCACTTCACATCGCTATAAAACGAGAAGCTGTGGAGTGTGCACATATATTACTTGAGAGTGGTGCATCACCAGTTGAACAGTGTATTGGAGGAATGACACCTCTTCATTTAGCAGCTGACAAAGGATATACAAGCATATGTGAAGTGCTTCTTGGAAAAAGTGAAGTATTAGTCAGTCAGGAAAATGAACAAATGGCAACACCACTTCACCTTGCAGCTCTTCATGGATCGGTAGATGTGTGCCAAATACTTCTACGTAAAGGAGCACGTATATCAGCAATTGATAAGTTGGGTCGTACAGCTCTCCACATTGCATCAGATAAAGGCTATGCCAATGTTGTAAAATTTCTTACTAGAAAAGGCATACCTCAACGGACTAAAGACGACACTGGTTCCACTGCTTTGCACATAGCAGCATCTAAAGGATCACTGGAATGTTGCCAGGTGTTGGTTTCCAGTGCTAAGGCTACATGCTGTGATGCAGATCAGAATGGAGCATTGCCTATAAACAGAGCTTTTGAAAATAAACATGACAATGTATTCAGATTTCTTCTTTTACAACTGCCTCACAAAAATGACCAAGAAGAAAGAATGGCTTGTTTTCATGAATACATGCACACAGCACTGAAGGAAAACAGACTGTAAGTAAACTTAGCATAAGTTTGTTATATACTAATGTGTTCTTGTTATTAGTTTTGTAGATTTCTTCTGTAGGTTACCCTTCTAAGGCAGGGTAAACTACAGAAGAAAACACTTCACCATCATTCATTCAGTTTCTGCATTTTCAGAAGTGTGCTGCCATTACAGTCAGATTACCCTCCAACTGTAACATCCCTACTCCTCCTTCATAGTGTAGGTACTGCCCTTCCCACCTCCAGGACTCAAGTCCAGCTAAATGATTTTCCCTAAATCCCTTCATAAAAGTTGTCTTGCTCACAGGGCAACATCACATCCATTAACCCTTTCAGGGTCCACAGGCCCTCTCAGAGACTTGTTCTCAGGGTCCCCCAATTTCAAAAAAAAAAAAAAAAATTTTCTTATGAAAAGATAGAGAATCTTTTCCCGTCATAATGACACCAAAAGTATGAAATTTGATGGAAAACTTACGGAATTATGCTCTCGTGAAGTTAGCAGTCTCGACGATGTTTACGCATCGGCGATTTTGCCCACTTTGAGCCCTATTTTTGGCCAATTCCAATGTACTAGTCGACAAAAATCATAACTATTTCGCTAGAACTCCATTTTTTCAATTGAATGAGTACAAGAAACCACCAATTTACCGATTAAATTATTTCCCAGTAAAAGTAGGCCTTAGACAAGGATGTGTGATGTCACCGTGGTTGTTTAATATATTTATAGATGGAGTTGTAAGAGAAGTAAATGCGAGGGTCTTGGCAAGAGGCGTGGAGTTAAAAGATAAAGAATCACACATAAAGTGGGAGTTGTCACAGTTGCTCTTTGCTGATGACACTGTGCTCTTGGGAGATTCTGAAGAGAAGTTGCAGAGATTGGTGGATGAATTTGGTAGGGTGTGCAAAAGAAGAAAATTAAAAGTGAATACAGGAAAGAGTAAGGTTATGAGGATAGCAAAAAGATTAGGTGATGAAAGATTGAATATCAGATTGGGGGGAGAGAATATGGAGGAGGTGAATGTATTCAGATATTTGGGAGTGGACGTGTCAGCGGATGGGTCTATGAAGGATGAAGTGAATCATAGAATTGATGAGGGGAAAAGGGTGAGTGGTGCACTTAGGAGTCTGTGGAGACAAAGAACTTTGTCCTTGGAGGCAAAGAGGGGAATGTATGAGAGTATAGTTTTACCAATGCTCTTATATGGGTGTGAAGCATGGGTGATGAATGTTGCAGCGAGGAGAAGGCTGGAGGCAGTGGAGATGTCATGTCTGAGGGCAATGTGTGGTGTGAGTATAATGCAGAGAATTCGTAGTTTGGAAGTTAGGAGGAGGTGCGGGATTACCAAAACTGTTGTCCAGAGGGCTGAGGAAGGGTTGTTGAGGTGGTTCGGACATGTAGAGAGAATGGAGCGAAACAGAATGACTTCAAGAGTGTATCAGTCTGTAGTGGAAGGAAGGCGGGGTAGGGGTCGGCCTAGGAAAGGTTGGATTATTTATTATTATAGTCAAGGGGGAAGCGCTAAACCCGGAGGATTATACAGCGCCTAGGGGGGGATGTGGAAGGCATTCAGGCTTAATTCGGGGAACTGGAGCACAGATCCAATTCCCTAAATCAAGAGCCCCTCACCAACATCAAGGAACCTTCCTTGAGGGGAGGAGGAAAGGTTGGAGGGAGGGGGTAAAGGAGGTTTTGTGTGCAAGGGGCTTGGACTTCCAGCAGGCATGCGTGAACGTGTTTGATAGGAGTGAATGGAGACAAATGGTTTTTAATACTTGACGTGCTGTTGGAGTGTGAGCAAAGTAACATTTATGAAGGGGTTCAAGGAAACCGGCAGGCCGGACTTGAGTCCTGGAGATGGGAAGTACAGTGCCTGCACTCTGAAGGAGGGGTGTTAATGTTGCAGTTTAAAAACTGTAGTGTAAGGCACCCTTCTGTCAAGACAGTGATGGAGAGACTTCAACATCAACCTTGGCTTACTAGATGATCAGCCTGTAACTGATTTCATCAACAATATGAACAACACACTTCTCATACCAACAATAACTAAACCAACCAGGCTCACTGAGACAAGTGCAACCATAATAGACCACATATGGACCAATATACTAGCCCCCCTTAAATCAGGGATAATCACAGATAGAACTACAGACCACTACCCTACCTTCCTCCTGACAAACATTAATAAACCACCACTTGAATACAACAAAGTCTCATTTAGACTCCATGACGAGGCCTCAATAAGGAAGTTCACAACTGACCTAGAGATTGTTGACTGGCCTACAGAATTCTCCAAGGCCAATGGTATTGATGACTGGACAGACATTTTTCTTAACAAATTACTTAGACTATACAACAAACATTGTCCTATAAAAACAAAACAGATCACAAACAAACGGCTTGGTTGCCCATGGCTAACCAGCACCATTCTGAAATCCATTGACAAGAAACACCAATATGAAAAGCAATATAGACAGGGCTTAATACACAAAGATATTCTTAAACACTATTCATCAGTTTTCACCAAAGTAATAAAGAAAGCCAAACAACTATACTACTTCAGTAGATTCACAGACACTAGAGGAGATATAAAAAAGACCTGGAAAACACTCTCTCAGATTCTAGGGACCCACAAACTGAAAAAAAAACAAGAATATTGTCCCAACTAAACCTAATGAAACACCACTACATCCACTGACACAGCTAACAAGATAAACGACTTCTTCTCAACCATAGGATTTAATCTCGCCAATAAAACCCCACATACTAATGCCCATGCCGGGGACTACCTAGATGGGAATTTCCCAAATTCCTTCTATCTTGCACCAACTGAGCCCTCAGAAGTCACCGAGATTATAAAGTCACTTAAAAACAACTCAGGGAATCTGTCTAATGTCCCACCATTACTGTACAAGCGAGCGGCCCATATCCTTTTGCATGCTATTTCATTACTTTTTAACAAGTCACTAGAAACTAGCACCTTCCCGAAACTACTCAAGATGGCAAGGGTTACACCAATACATAAAGGTGGTGACCCTACAGACTTAAACAACTATAGGCCAATATCAAACTTACCATTGCTATCCAAAATCTTTGAGAAACTCGTGCACAGGAGACTATATTCATTTATAACAGCACAAAACATACTCAACCCCTGCCAATTTGGATTTAGGAAAAATAAAAGCACTAATGATGCAATCATAAAAATGCTAGATCTGCTTTACACAGCATTGGAAAATAAGAAATATCCACTAGGAATTTTTATTGACCTAAGAAAAGCTTTTGACACAGTAGACCACGACATCCTACTCCACAAACTTGACCATTACGGTATAAGAGGCCATGCGCTTGCTTATTTCAAATCTTACCTTACTAATAGGTATCAGTATGTTACCATTAAAGACACAGCATCAACAACACGGCCACTTGATACTGGAGTTCCGCAGGGAAGTGTCCTTGGTCCCCTGCTCTTCCTCATATACATCAGTGATCTTCCAAACGTATCCCAACACCTGAAACCATTCTCTTTGCTGACGACACGACTTATGTCATCTCTCACCCTAATCTTGCCACCCTCAACACCATTGTTAACGAGGAGCTGATCAAAATATCGACTTGGATGACAGCCAATAAACTTACGCTTAACACTGACAAAACCTACTATATTATGTTTGGTAGCAGAGCAGGAGATGCACAAATTAACATTAAGATTGACAACACTCTAATTACCAGACATAATGAGGGCAAATTCCTAGGCCTATACCTTGACAACAACCTGAATTTCAGCCCCCATATCCAACACATAACCAAAAAAGTATCCAAAACAGTTGGGATCCTCTCCAAGATACGATACTACGTGCCGCAAATGCCCTTCTCACACTATACCACTCACTTATTTATCCATACCTCACCTATGCTATTTGTGCTTGGGGATCAACTGCAGCAACACACCTAAAGCCAATAATAACCCAACAAAAAGCTGCAGTAAGAATAATCACTAAATCCATCCCTGGCAACACACCCCCCCCACTCTTCATAGATCTAAACTTACTCCTGTTCAGTACATCCACACTTACTACTGTGCAATCTACATCTACAGGACCTTAAACTCCAATATCAACCTTGACCTAAAACGCTTTCTTGATAGTTGTGACAGAACCCACAGGCATAACACCAGACACAAACATCTCTACGACATTCCCCATGTCCGACTAAACCTTTACAAAAATTCAATGTATGTCAAAGGCCCTAAAATCTGGAAACACCCTACCTGAGAACTCTAGAACTGCAGACACATTCATCACCTTCAAAACTACCATTAGAAAACATCTTATTTTCCTGATAAACCCCATCAACTAACTACACGAATACCACCTGGTGGTTCACACTTACACTCACTCACCCATTTGACCATAAACAGAAATATTAATCTCAATCTTAAAATAATGAATCCTATGATACTCCAATACTGAAACTATGTACTGTGCCAAAACAAAAGCATTCACATTGCTAAACTCACAAACTAGTATTTAGTCACTTAGCCATAATACCAACTTACCTCATAATTTGTAATATTTTAAAATAAAGAATTAAACTAAGTCTGCCCGAAATGCCTAGCCATGCTAGGCGTTCTAGTGGTACACTCTGTAATCATTATTTAACTACATGTAAACCACACAACAACCAAATTCTGTAAATTCAACATTGTAATCTTTATAGAGAATAAACTTTGAATTGAATTTGATGGTGAAAGTTTTTCTTTTTTGGGCCAACCTGCCTTGGTGGGAATCGGCCAGTGTGATAATAATAAAAAATAAAATCCTATCTTTATATGCAAAACCAAATAGTGATCGCAAGTTTTTGTTTTTCAAGGCCTCCTCACAATTCTTTCTTGTAAATCAGTTATGCTTTTTTATTATCATTATTATTATTATCATTATTATTATTATAATCATGACTAAGCATTAAACCCATAAGGGTCATACAGTGCTGTCAGTTATGGTTTACATTTTTCTGATATATAAATATATGAGGTCTTTATTCACATAAAAACATATTGATGAATGTAGAAAAAAAAAAATTATATAAAAATAAATTGTTGTAGTTTGTAATACAGTACAGTGGTACCCCGAGTTTCGAACTTTCTTCATTCCAGAAGGCTGTTTAAGTGCAGTTACCAAACAAATTTTTTCCCATGAGGAATAATGTAAAATAGATTAGTCTGTTTCAGACCCCCAAAATACTCTTACAAAAGCACTTATAATAATACACCACATAATTGGTTAAGTTGGGAGCAGTTCGAAACTCGGGGTACCACTGTAATGTACTATGAGACCAGTAACATTTTATTACTTTAATTTTTGACAGAACTGCTGTTGAAGCAATCATTGGTAGCTCCTGGTGGAAAGCTGGTTTTATAGGAGAAAATGGGCATCATTGTCAGAATTTTAGAGTGCTTGTAGAGCATCATCCAGGTCTAGCACTGAAGGTACAAGACAAGTGTATTGAACGCTCCGAAAGTAAAGTAACTTACAACTTTAGATTTATTGAAGACAACTACTATATTCCAACAGGTATTAAATATAAAACCATATGAATCTTGAATGCATATACAGTATATAGTAGATACAAGTATGCTCGTTTTTTGAATAATTTATAGTGCTAATTATGATAATTTACGAAGTGTGTATTTCTCAGCCCCTGGTAAAATTGCCGAGAGTCCCTTTGAAAATGACACAGGGAAAGTGCGTAAAAATGCAGTCCAGTTTATCCAAGATGGCCTTCAGTGGAAGAATAGGCATCCCTTAACACTTATGGTGCATCACAACTGCCATCGCCTGCTTCAACACACTTTAACAAATGCATGGCTGCTGGATAAATGGAGTTCTTACATCTATATTATCTTCCTTGCCTTGCTCCTGCTGGAGCTACTCTTTGTTTTCTGTCTGATCATCTTCATGGGAAGTGTAGAGTAAGTAGCAACTTGTTTGTACAGTAATTTATTTATGTACATGACTGCATAAATATTTTGTGGAATGCACAGTTTAAGATCTTACCAGTTTTGTCATGTTGATTATGTTTATATATGACAGTGAAGTTCATAGCACTGTAAAACTAAGAATTCAAATTACAAGTACAACTGATTCAAACTGGGATCTAAAAGGCTTCAAGGCACTGTGCCAAAAAGGAATAAGCAAACTATGGAACCACTAGATTAAAACTAGCCTATGGAGGCTCATCATGAGTCTGATTCACCTTTTACCTGATGATTGACAGTACAGAATATTGTTTTTTTTATTATGAAACATTTCCTCATCCAGTTGTTATTTATACCCAGGTGCAATTTGTTTTTTTTTTTGTATTGTCTGTTGTTATACTTTTAGACTATTTTCCAATACCTTTGATATAAAACTTACAGTAATTGGAGCCACATAGAGAAACGATGCAATCTCACCAGAGAAGAGTTTTGTAGTTTATCACTGGCAGAGGAAAGTGCAGAAGCCCTGTCAAATTCAACAGTAATCAAGAAATGTAATGAAACACTGCCTTTGAAGAGAGGACTTTCACTGGCTTTACTAATAATAACTGCCATCGCACTACTCTTGGAATGCAACTATATGTATAGAGTAAGTTTCAATAATACCATGTTTTTTTATGTTCTTATTGATGGATTAGTAAGATTTTGAATTACAATATAACAATAATTAGATAAGTGACATGAGTTAGATGAAGAGGATGAACTGCAAGATATATGGGTCTTTATAAGAAATTAATGGCATTGGTACTTTTAATATATAGTCAAAAAAAAAGTTATAATTGTAACTAAAAAAGTTTTAGTAGGCTCTTTAAAAAAATAAATGGATTAGTTTTACTTAGTATGGCAAAAGAAAAACTTTAATCCTAAAGAGGAATTAACACTATGTAACATTGCTGTATTATATAAATGATGAGTCTATTGGGAGACATGACTCAGTTATTTGAATTCCAAAGAGAAAAATGTGTTTGTAATACTGTAATAGATTTAATTCCTAATCCTGAATATAATGTAATTCCTAATACTGAATATAAAGTATATCAACAAAAAGCTTCTTACTCTTAGATTTTTTTTCAACATGTCAGCTGTCTTCCACCAAGGAAGGGTGACCACTTTCAGTCAACCTTTTTCTTTGCAGCTGAGGAAGGAGTACCTGAGTATAGACAATCTGATGCAGATATGTCGTTTAATATTTACTATTGCTGTCATAGTGCCTGGAGGGAGCTGTGAATTTCAGCACCATATACTTTATGTAAGTAAAATATTGAAATTACTGTCAGTCATTAATATACAGTGGACCCCCGCATAACGATCACCTCCCAATGCGACCAATTATGTAAGTGTATTTATGTAAGTGCGTTTGTACGTGTATGTTTGGGGGTCTGAAATGGACTAATCTACTTCTCAATATTCCTTATTGGAACAAATTCGGTCAGTACTGGCACCTGAACATACTTCTGGAATGAAAAAATATCGTTAACCGGGGGTCCACTGTATACTGTATAATAATACTGAGTAACAGAATTTGGACAGCAGCATTGTGTATATCCTTACTCAGAAGAGATTCATTTTAGCTTTCATAATTAAAAATATCTTTTAGGCTTTTTTCATTAGGAATGTAACATCTTGCATTCCAGATTTGGCAGTGGGAATGTGGAATCCTTGCCTTGCTAGTTGGATGGCTGCACCTCATCAACACACTCAACCAGCTACCCATACTCTCAGTTTTCATGCCAATTACTAAAAGTTTTATTAAAAGTTTTTTCAAAGTGGTCTTTTACATAGTGATGCTTTTATTTGTCTTTGCCTTCATTTTCCATCTTCTTCTACAAGATCAAGCTGCCTTCATTAATGTGCCACAGTCTATGGTAAAGACAATAGTGTGGATGCTAGGTGATCTAGGTTATGATGACACTTTCCTTAATGATGATCACCAACTACTCTACCCAAAGATGGTGAATCTTCTCTTTGTGGTGTTTGTCACTATTATAGGTGGCTTTGTTGCAAATTTGGTCATTACTCAGCCCTCTGAAAAACTCAATGTTTTCCGAGAGAAAGCTGCCTTCTACAGAGCAGCATCTCGGTGTATGTTATTCCACAAACTTGATGTTTGCTTTCCTTTCTTTCACAAATACAGAATAAGAGGAACATTTATAGATGAAGAAACCAAAATAAATGGGTACAATGTTCTAACAAAGAAACTTTTGATGCTAGACACTAAAGAAGAGGAAGCACAGCCTGTAAATCCCTTGGTGTTGCAGCTGGAAGAACAGAACAAACAAATCAACACTTTGTTGACTCTTCACGTGGAACAAAGGGAGGAGATAAGAGATCTCAAGCAACAGATAAATGTCATTGTTAAATCTCTGCCAAGTTTATATCAGTCACAACCTAAAGTTTAGGTTATACATATTAGTAGCTGCTTAACTGTTGAGTTTGATCCACCTAGGTTATACATATTAGTAGCTGCTTAATTGTTAAGTTTGATCCACCTTGATTCTCACTCTCTGACAAAGCTTCCTATTATTAGTTTTAACAAACAATCCACATACAAATGAAAGTGAAATGGTCCAAAACCTTAACTAAGTGACCACAGCTGTATTACACACTACAGTATTATTATCTAAAAGAAGTGTTAAGCCTACAAGGGTCAAACAGCACAGTGAGGCAGGGGATAATGCAGGAGTATAGAGTAGCAAGGGTGGAGTGGACAACAGAGGGAGAGTTAGAAAGGGTTGTGAGGAATGCTAGAGATTACACACTACAATTTTCTGCCCATTAGTCATATCCCTGAAGGGAAACCATAATGGGAAAGTCTGATCCAAACCTTATGGCACCTAGTGTTACTGTGCAAGGATTGTTCGATCTTCCTAACAGTGCAACGTCTCTCAAACAGTTGTTGAGCATGTTAATTTCATCAGTGTTATTTTCATTCTACCCAGTATTTACTTAAATCTCTATGACAGCACAATTAATATCAAAAAATCATGGAGATATCATACACATATTCTTCTATATCTGGTAAATAACCTTTTTTTTTACTACCAAAGTGCCTTGTGGCTTTCATGTTTTGTTTATTATTTAGCTATAACATAAGTAGTCATGTTCTTAACAAAATCCTATGTGGATAACTGTACTGTAACAATCTTCATTACCTATTCAGCAGACTTTTAAATGACTGTATCAAGTAACTGCACCTCTTGGCTTTAAATAAAATATAGACTACAACTCTTTCTGGAGGATGTCTTGAGGCTAGTGAAGAGTTCATGATTCAAGGAAGTACAGATAAACTTCCTTTCCTTTCATCAAACCTAATTACTTACCATTCTCCAAGTGCTATATAACCCCATGGATTTATTGCCTCCCCATGACTATTTATTTTATTTTATTAACACAAGCCCCTCACACATAAAACCTCCTTTACCCCCTCCCTCCAACCTTTGCTAGGCCGACCCCTACCCTGCCTTCCCTCCACTACAGATTTATACACTTTCAAAGTCATTATATTTCATTCCATCTTCTCTACATGTCCAAACCATCTCAGTAACCCCTCCTCTGGATAATAGTTTTGGTAATCCCACATCACCTGCTAATCTCCAAACTACAGATTCTCCGCATTATATTCACACCACACACTGCCCTCAGACATGACATATCCACTGCCTCCAGCCTTCTCCTTGTTGCAACATTCACAACCCATGCCTCACACCCATAACTATACTCTCATACATTCCCCTCTTTGCTTTCATGGATAAAGTTCTTTGTCTCCACAGACTTCTAAGTGCACCACTCGCCTTTTTCCCCTCGTTAATTCTATGATTCACCTCATCGTTCATAGACCTATCTGCTGACACGTCCACTCTTGGAAATCTGAACACATTCACCTCCTTCATACTCTCTCCCTCCAATCTGATATCCAATCTTCCATTTCCTAATTTTTTTGTTATCCTCATCACCTTACTCTTTCCTACATTCATCTTTAATTTCCTTCTTTTACATACCCTACCAAACTCGTCAACCAACCTCTGTAACTTCTCTTCAGAATCCCCCAAAAGCACAGTGTCATCAGCAAAGAGCAACTGTGACAACTCCCACTTTGTGTTAGATTCTTTATCTTTTAACCCCAAATCTCTTGCCAACACCCAAGCATTCACTTCTCTTACAACTCCAACTATAAATATATTGAACAACCATGGTGACATCATACATCCCTGTCTAAGGCCTACTTTTACTGGGAAGTAATCTCCCTCTTGCCTACATACTCTAACCTGAGCCTCACTATCCTCGTAAAAGCTTTGCACTGCTGTCTATTCTATACATTTGCAACATCTGCCACATTGCCCCCTATCCACCTTATCATATACCTTTTCCAAATCCATAAATGCCACAAATACCTCTTTTACCCATACCTAAATACTGTTCACCTATATGTTTCACTGCATGACTATAAGAATCATAATAATAGACGACAGCTGTGCATTTATATTACAGTGCAAAATAATACACCCAACTTCTTATTAATTTTAATAATTTGGCAGCTTTTTACTACTTTGCAGTTATTAATTAATTTTAATAAAATGTAATATAATTTTCATTATTTTTTTATCCAGAGTACTTATTTACATGTACATCCCAAATAACCCACATTTACTAGAGAGAATGAGTGCAGTATCAAAAGGAACAAAACAATATGTGTAAATGCCATCATAAGCTGCTTCTTACCTAATATCTTATTAAGGATATAAGCTAATACTGTATACAATACTGTGTATGTATTAACATTTATTTACTAAAATAAAATGTTATAAAATTTGGTGTTTCCTTGAAGATCAAGCTATGAATGATATAATGTCACCTCCCTGTCCATCATTATACACTTGTTCAGGGGCAAACTAAAAACATGACAAACTATAATGACTTTCATTAATGTTTCACTTGACATTAACACTGTGTGAAGGTTTGATAATACACCTACCATCCGACTTACGACCGAGTTCGGTTCCGAGAAACCGGTCGTAAGTCGAAATGGTCGTAAGTTGAACATTACTACTGAATATCAACAAAACATTTTTGTAATGACTTTATTTTATTGTTTTATTTTGGTATTTCATGTTTTACTTTACTTTTTATGTTGTTAGCACTGTATTTTATACTGTAAGGTTTATGATAAACACTGTGTACAACATAAATAGTTGTTTATTTCCCAGAAATTTGGCATAAAAAACACGGTCATAAGTCGAGCAGGTCATAAATCGGATGGTAGGTGTAGAGTCAAATTAAAATTCTGCCTGTGTTACAACTATACAGTGGACCCTCAGCTAACGATGGCATCACCTTACGTTAAATCCAGCATCCGATACATTTTAACGCAAAAATTTTGCCTCAGCTAATGCTAAAAAACTCGCCCTACGTGATTCATTCGAGACTCGTCCACGTGTGGCCTGAGCATGCCTCAGTTGTCCCGTGGGTGCCAGTGTTTACAAGCCAGCTAGTGCAGTCGCATCCACGCAATCGGAACATTTCATATTATCACGGCGTTTTTAGTGATTGTACCTGCAAAATAAGTCGCCATGGGCCCCAAGAAAGCTTTTAGTGTCAACCCTGCAGGAAAAAGGGTGAGAATTACTATGGATATGAAGAAAGAGATAATTGCTAAGTACGAAAGTGGAGTGTGTGTGTCTGAGCTGGCCAGGTTGTATACCAAACCCCAATCAACCATCGCTACTATTGTGGCCAAGAAAATGACAATCAAGGAAGCTGTTCTTGCAAAAGGTGCAACTTTGTTTTCGAATAAGAGATCGCAAGTGATAGAAGATGTTGAGAGACTGTTATTGGTGTGGATAAACGAAAAACAGATAGCAGGAGATAGCATCTCTCAAGCGATCATATGTGAAAAGGCTAGGAAGTTGCATGAGGATTTAATTAGAAAAATGCCTGCAACTAGTGGTGATGTGAGTGAATTTAAGGCCAGCAAAGGTTGGTTTGAGAGATTTAAGAATCGTAGTGGCATACATAGTGTGATAAGGCATGGCGAGGCTGCAAGTTCGGACCAAAAAGCAGCTGAAAAATATGCGAAGGAATTCAAGGATTACATAGACAGTGAAGACTTGAAACCTGAACAAGTGTTTAAGTGCGACAAAACAGGCCTGTTTTGGAAGAAAATGCCAAACAGGACCTACATTACACAGGAGGAAAAGGCACTCCCAGGACATAAGCCTATGAAAGACAGGCTTACTCTCTTGATGTGTGCTAATGCTAGTGGTGACTGCAAAGTGAAGCCTTTATTGGTGTATCACTCTGAAACTCCCAGAGTGTTCAGGAGAAAGAATGTCCTCAAGGCTAATTTGTGTGTGATGTGGAAGGCAAACAGTAAGGCATGGGTCACTAGAGACCTTTTCTACGACTGGTTACACCATGCATTTGCCCCCACTGTGAAAAATTACCTCCTGGAAAATAAATTGGACCTTAAGTGCCTCCTGGTATTAGACAATGCTCCTGGTCATCCTTCAGACTTGGCAGTGATTTTCTGGGGACATGAGCTTCATTAAGGTCAAGTTTTTGCCTGCTAATACTACTACTCTCCTGCAGCCCATGGACCAGCAGGTCATTTCAAACTTCAAAAAACTCTACAGAAAAGCTATGTTTCAAAAGTGCTTTGTAGTGACCACAAACACTCGATTGACTCTGAGAGTTTTGGAGAGATCACTTTAGCATCCTCAATTGTGTAAACCTTATAGGTAAGGCTTGGGAGGGAGTGACTAAGAGGACCTTGAACTCTGCTTGGAAGAAGCTGTGGCCAGAATGTGTAGACAAAAGGGATTTTGAAGGATTTGAGGCTAACCCTGAGAAGTGTATGCCAGTTGTGGAATCAATTGTGGCATTGGGGAAGTCCTTGGGGTTGGAGGTTAGTGGGGAGGATGTGGAAGAGTTGGTGGAGGAGGACAATGAAGAACTAACCACTGATGAGCTGCAAGATCATCTTCAACAGCAAGAGACCAGACCTGAGGAAACTGCTTCGGAGGAGGGGAGAGAGAAATTGAAGAAGTTGCCTACTTCAAAGATTAAGGAAATGTGTGCAAAGTGGCTTGAAGTGCAAACCTTTATAGATGAAAATCACCCTCACACAGCTATTGCAAGCCATGCTGGTGACTATTACAATGACAATGCTGTGAACCACTTTAGATAAATCATAAAGGAATGGGAGGTACAGGCCTCTATGGACATTATTATTATCATAATCAAGGGAGAAGCATTAAACCCATAGGATTATACAGTGCTTGGGGGAGGGATGGAAGGTATTCAGGCTTAATTCAGGGAACTGGAGCACAGATCCAGTTCCCTAGATCAAGAGCCCCTCACCAGCATCAAGGAACCTTCCTTGAGGGGCCTCTATCGACAGATATGTTGTGCGACAGAGGTCCAGTGACTCAAGCTGGTCCTAGTGGCATTAAAAGAAGGGAAGTAACCCCGGAAAAGGACTTGCTACCTCAAGTCCTAATGGAAGGGGATTCCCCTTCTAAACATTAACAACTTCCACACTCTTCCCTCCTCCCATCCCATCAATCATCACCAGATCTTCAATAAAGGTAAGTGTCAGTTTGTGTGTATTAAAATTAATATTTCATGTAAATTTTTTTTTTTCATACTTTGGGGTGTCTTGCACAGATTAATTTGATTTCCATTATTTCTTATGGGGAAAATTAATTCAGCTAACAATAATTTCAGCATATGATGAGCTTTCAGGAACGGATTAATATTGTTAGCTGAGGGTCCACTGTACTTGGATGATTGATATAAATTGTGCTACAGTAATAAGACAGTGTTCCAAAAGCACGTTTAAAGTGCAGATTTTTTTAAGGTGGTATTACAACTTTGATATTTCATATTTAAGCTGCTGTATAGGCAGTTATAGGTTTTGCACTTTCAAACTCTTAGATCATTATTTAACAAACTTCATTGGAAAGTTCAAATATCAATATGCTTTATGATTTTGTTAGCCTCAAGGGTAAGCAGTGCAATAAAAATAATATAAACACAACATTATGGAACATGTAGCAGCTGGAAATAATGAAACATCTGCAGCACTGCAATGCTATGTATCAGTACAGCACTACTGTGGTTATATTTTATTATTTACTGCCACAGTTATCCAAGAAAAACATTACAAAAAACTTGTATATACCAGTTATATATTTATACAAATGTAATTCAACCAGTGGAGGTAATAGTAATGATGCAACATTTTTCATATTAGTAGACAAGGAATTTAGACATATATGGCCCTTCAAGTTCATAACCAAGTTTTCGATAATAGTTGCGAGTACCAATGCCTGAAATAAAATAAGAGCACCAAATCAGTACTGTATGTATGAGAAAACTGTTGAAAATTATTATGAGCCAACTAATTAACTGAAAATAAAGATAAAATATTCATTAATATAATTTACAGATTTACTAGCTCCACATAGCATTTACAAGAAATAATAGGACACTGACTACAATAAAGTATCCAAGTGCTTGGAAGGTAAAGTACTATGCATCAAAATACACAAAGATGAAAATGATGGAAAGATGGAGAAAATTTGCATGATGGGCACAAGGAATGCACAGTACTGGAAAAAAAACACTGAGAAGAAAAGAATGTAATGTTCAGTAGAAAGTGAGATAAATTAAGCACATCGGACATTTTCCACCAAGGCAGGGTGTCTCAGTAGTAGTACCAGTTCCTAGTAACCAGTTACCAGTAACCAGTGTACCAGTAGATGACTCACTACCAACCGTCTGCGTGAATCACTGACTGATTATTCATATTGCTGCTGACCATAGCAGGATTTCAAACACCCCTCACCCGTAGGCACTGGTGGGTCAGTTGAAGATAGGGAGCAGAGAGAGGCAGGTCGGCTGTTGGTACTTTCCCATACTTTCCGTTATATTATACATACTACCAGCCTACGTGAGTATTTTTACCCATCCACGTTTTATCGAAAACCCACATGACAGGTGGACCGAAAAAAAAATTTTTTCATCATTTACTCCATCACTGTCTTGCCAGAGGCACACTTACACCACAGTTATATAACTGCAACATTAACCCTTTCAGGGTTGCCAGGCCCTCTCCGAGACTTGTTCTCAGGGTCGCCAAATTTCAAAAAAAAAAAAACTTTTTTCTTATGAAAACACAGAGAACCTTTTCCCAATCATAATGACACCAAAAGTATGAAATTTGATAGAAATCTTACGGAATTATGCTCTTGTGAAGTGAGTGGTCTCGACGATGTTTACGCATCGGCGATTTTGCCCACTTTGAGCCCTATTTTCGCACAATTCCAGTGTACTAGTCAACAAAAATCATAACTATTTTGCTAGAACTCCATTTTTTTTCTATCGAATGAGTAAAAGAAACCACCCATTTACCGATTTCAACTATCCAATAAAGTGGTCAGAATTTAGCAATTTTGCCAATTTCACACAAATTTCAAAAGATGCCAATTTCCAAATTGGGTCCAGAATACACAAAGACATTCCTGGCACTAAAATAACATTTCCTCTGTTCATTAGTCACGTCCCCATGTCCCTCTTACATTCTTTTGCTTTCCACTTTGAATTTTTATTCTCACAAAAAATAGAAGATTTACTGTTATGCAGACTACTGCATTTGTGTAGAAATGGTATAAATAATATCAGCACACTTGTGAAAGAATATTAGACTCACCAGTTGACGTGTATTGGACGCGTAGCATGATTCGTTTACTTTTGAACTTTGATAAAAATCAAACATTTCTGCTACTATGAGCTCAATTTCAAGGTACTTTTCATTGTAAAACCAGTCAAAATCATCTCAATTTCTGTAATATGTCTTCCATTCTATAAAATGAGACCAGGAAAACTAGAATACAACAATAAATACCATACGAAAATGCAGTGCAAAGTTGCTGTTTTAATCCAAAAACACGGTCAAAGTTTTTTTTTCTCATTACGCACTGTGTGCTGCAGGATTTTTTTTTATACTGTGCACACTGACCACATAGACCCATTCTTTCATATGTAGGGCTACCAGCTTTCTCTCACTAGATTTGGGGGCGCTAGAATTTAGGCGTACTAGTACGTCCAAAACCCTGAAAGGGTTAACAACCCTCCTTCAGAGTGTAGACACTGTACTTCCCATCTCCAGGACTCAAGTCCGGCCTGGCGGTTTCCCTGAATCCCTCCATAAATGTTACCTTGCTCACACTCCAACAGCACGTCAAGTCCTAAAAACCATTTATCTCGATTTGCTTCTATCTAACACGCTCACTCATGCTTGTTGGAAATCCAAGCATCTGAGAGCAATACATAACAATAATGTAGTGAGAAAGATTAGGACTATACAATCAATGTACGGTAGGGCCCCACTTATATGGCAGGTTAGGTTCCAGGCTACTGCCGTAAAGCGGAAATCGCCGTAAAGTGGAACACCCTTTTTTCACCTTATAAATGCATACAAATACTAGACAACAAGTTTACACTAACACATATTAAGTTAGCAATAGAACTAGGCATCAAAAAACAATAAAAAGTAAAATAAACACATAGTGCACTCATTACTTACCTTAAAATATTTGTAGTCTTAATCTAGGGTGAGACAAATAGTATTTATTTTAAGAAATCAAGTGTGGTATGTATGGTAGCCAGTCGGGCTACCATACCAGGCCACCCCACCTACACATAATATTCCATTACATTTAAGCATCCCAGAGTGATAAAATGCATATACAGTTCACTCATTACTTACCTTAAAATATTTGTAGTCTTAACCCTTTGACTGTCGAAGGGCCAAATCCTGAAGTTGCTTCTGGTGTCGCAAAATTTTCGAAAAAAAAAAAATTATTTTTTCTTATGAAATGATAGAGAATCTTTTCCCGATTGTAAAGACACCAAAAAAACGAAATTTGATGGAAAACTGACGGAATTACGCTCTCGCGAAGTTAGCGACTTCGGCGATATTTAAAAATCGGCAATTTCGCCCACTTTGAGCCCTATTTTCGGCTAATTCCGTTATTCCAGTCAATCAAACTCATAACTATTTCTTCAGAACATCTATTTTTTCTATCGATTGAGTACAAGAAACTGCCCATTTACCGATTTTAACTACCCAATAACATGGTCAGAAATTTGCAATTTGGCCAATTTCACGAAAATTAAAAAATACGACGATTTCAAAATAAGGTCCAGAATGAACAATGCAGACATTCCTGGCTCTAAAATAACATTTTCTTTGTTCATCAGTCATGTCTCCAGGTCCCCGTGATATTACTCTTACTTTTTATTTTGAAATTTTATTCAAACAAAAAATAGAAGATTTACTGTTATGCAGACTACTTTGTAAAAATTTAAAAAAAACACCCTTTACCTATTAAATTAAAATTGGACAATTACATACTATTTTTTACCTTTTTTAAAAATGGCAAAAACAAAATTTTAGTAAAATTTTCCCTTTAGTTTTTTTATTAAAATTTTTTTTTTTTTTTTACAAAAATTTACTTAACATAGACCCCAAAATATTTTTTAAAACAAAGGTGGTTTTTTTTTTGATGGTAGCCCCGTTTTTTTTGGGCACCATCCACACAAACCCCCTCTCACATTTATATTCCCTTCCAATTTAAGCCCCAGAATTTTAAAATATATACAGTCAAAAACCTACCTTCCAAAATATTTGTAAAATCAATTAATCAAGTGCGGTATGTATGGTAGCCAGCCAGGCCAACCCACCCACACATATTATTCTATGATTTTTAAGCATCCCAGAGCAACAAAATGCATATACAGTTCACTCATTACTTACCTTAAAATATTTGTAGTCTTAATGTAGGGTCAGAGGTAAGTAAACAAGATACTATCTGTCTTGACCACACCTTTGGTTACATACCTGGAGTTTACCTGGAGAGGGTTTCGGGGGTTAACGCCCCCGCAGCCCGCTCTGAGACCAGGCCTCATGGTGGATCAGGGTCTGATCAATATTTCATGTTGCAAGCAAGCTGACGTACGAAAAACAGCCCGGTTGGTCAGGTACTGACTTTAGGTTTCTGTCGAGTGACTTCTTGAAGGCAGCCAGGGGTCTACTGGCAATCCCTCTTATGTATGCTAGGAGGCAATTGAAGAGTCTTGGGGCCCCAGACACTTAATGTGTTGTCTCTCAGTGTACTCGTGGCGCCCCTGCTTTTCATAGGGGGAATGTTGCATCTCCTGCCGAGTCTTCTGCTTTCATATGGAGTGATTTTCATGTGCAGGTTTGGTACCAATCCCTCTAGGACCTTCTAAGTGTATATTATCATGTATTTCTCTCACCTGCATTCGAGGGAATACAGATCAAGGACCTTCAACCGTTCCCAGTAGTTTAGGTGCCTTATTGCACTTACGTGTGCCGTGAAAGTACTTTGTACACTCTCTAGGGCTGCAATGTTACCAGCCTTGAAAGGGGCCGTTAGTGTACAGCAGTATTCCAGCCTTGAAAGGGGCCGTTAGTGTACAGCAGTATTCCAGCCTTGAAAGGGGCCGTTAGTGTACAGCAGTATTCCAGCCTAGAGAGCACAAGCGATTTGAAGAGAATCATCATGGGCTTGGCGTCCCTAGTTTTGAAGGTTCTCATTATCCATCCCATCATTTTCCTAGCAAATGAGGTAGATACATTGTTCTGGTCTTTGAAGGCAAGATCCTCTGACATTATCACTCCCAGGTCATTCACATTACTTTTCTGCTCTATTGTATGGTTAGAATTTGTGGTATACCCTGACACATTTTTAATTTCTTCAAGTTTTCCACATCTGAGTAGTTGAAATTTCTCCTTGTTGAACTTCATATTGTTTTGAGTGGTCCATTCAAAGATCTGGTTGATGTCCACTTGGAGTCTCGCAGTGTCTTCAATGAAGGTCACTGCCATAGTGATCCGGGTGTCATTTGCAAAGGAAGACACGGAGCTATGGCTTACATCTCTGTCTATGTCAGAAATGAGGACGAGGAATAGAATGGCAGCGAGTACTGTGCCTTGTGGAACAGTGCTTTTTACCATCGCTACCTGGGACTTTACTCTGTTTACTATTACTCTTTGTGTTCTATTTGTCAGGAAGTTGTAGATTCATCTACCAACTTTTCCCGTTATTCCTTTATCCCACATTTTGTGTGCTATTACACCATGGTCACACTTGTCAAAAGCTTTTGCAAAGTCTGTGTATACTACATCTGTATTTTGTGATAATCTACAGAATCCAGGACCTTGTCATAGTGGTCCAGTAGCTGGGACAGGCAGGAGCGACCTGCTCTAAACCCGTGTTACCCTGGGTTGTGTAACTGATGG